GTTGGAACTTTGGGATCTGTAAACAAGACAGACAATCGGCAATAATATTTTTTTGACCTTCAAGGTATTTGCTTTTAAAGACAAGGTTGTTAACAGCTGCACATAATGTTTACTTAGATGTGGACAGAGTAATGAGATGTGACATGAAGGAGCGTCCTGGAACTATGACTCTGCTTGCGAAACTGAGATGGCCCAATATTTGTAGAAGTTCCCTTTTGGTACAAGATTTCTTTTGAAGGAATTCATCAATGAAAGATACAATTCTGGAAATCTTGTCGGTAGGTAGCCTTGCTTCCATCCTGAGGGAATCTAGAGTGATGCCAAGGAAAGTGATAGTGGTGTCTAGACCCTCTGTTTTTTGCTTAGCAATAGGTATATTTAGCCTCTTAAAAATAAGCATGAGTAAGGCCATGTTTCTTTCTCCACATTTATCAGGCTCCTCAAAGGTGATAAAGTCGTCCAAGAGATGCAGGATATACTTAATGCCATAGTTGTTGTTAGCAATCCAGCAGATAGCCTGGGCAAGGCAATCGAAGGTTCTTGTACTAGATCTACAACCGAAAGCAAGTTTGGTATAGAAATAATAAAGGCCTTTCCATTTTAGACAGAATAAGTGCCACTGAGATGGGGAAATGGGTATTAGCTTGAAGGCATCAGATATGTCTGTTTTGCACATTGTCATTCCGGATCCAAGTTTTTGAATAGTTTTTATGGCGTCGTCGGTGGTTACGTAGGATAGCGAGCACTTTTCTTTGTCGATTAGTGAATTGATGCTGGGATCTGAAGAATCTGAATGTGGTGCTGAGAGGTTCACTATCAAACGTGCTTTATTTGAATATTTTTTGAAACTAACTCCAATGGGACTCACTCTGTATTTTGGAAAGGGGGGTGCATCGAATGGTCCTTGTAGATAACCCTTTTCCACCTCTTTGCTGAGAAGGTTTGGGCATTCGAAGTAGCAGAAAGGAGGTTTCGGCATTCCTTACTTGGCATATCTGTATTATTAATCATGGTATTAAAACCGTAGCGCAGGCCATCACAAAGATATTTACCAAACTTAGAATCAGATTGCAGTCTTAGTTCAAAATCTAGACGTCAATGTTAACTGGAGTGGAAACAGAAAGTGGAAGAGCATCTGGTTTTTGTTGTATAGTCATTTGTTCTTTTGTGTGCTTTCCTCGCATGAATTGCCTCCATGGTCACTTGCCTCGCAGATGTAGCATATGTGAGAAAATATGCAATTCTTCTGGCTGCATTTTCCTGCATTGAAATTGTTGCAAATTTCGATGCCATTGTGAGTTTTACGTGGCCTTCCATATTTGTCTTCCTTGGTAGAGTTGAGTGTTTGAGCGTTTTTCAGCATCTGGTATTGAGATGGTTTAATACGTAATAGAGGACAGAATGAGCCAGAGTGAGAAGTCGAGTTGCAGAGATGGCAGGTAGAAACTCGGGCATTCCCCATGACTATACTCAGGAGAGCATTATCCTTTATGGACCAATCAACTTTGATGTTCAGGTCGTGTAAGGCAGCAGCTGCTTGGGCCAAAAACTGTGTATGGTAATCGAAGAATTTTTGTCTGTACACATTAGAAATTTCAACGATATTACCTTCGTATCTGTCGAGCTCTACCATTCTTTCGGGAAATTTGGTACACATAATTCTTTTATATTTCCCGAATGTGGTTATAAATTCGCTAATGGTTAGGGTCTTGTGGAGGCGGGGGTCTATGGTCTCCAGAACATTGAGGCCCATATTGAACTCTGGCACAGACTTGTTCCTCTTGTATTTAGGGATGAGAAGACTTGCCAAATTAAAATCTTTGCCTTCCCAAATTTTCCGCTTAAGGGAGTCTGTTACAATGTCTAATTTGGTAGACATTCAGCAGAAACGCCGAATTGAGTTGTGCATAAGAACCCACCTATTGAAGTTCCCGAGATTGCGCTTCCCGATTCCAGAAGTTTAGTCGAATTCCTTGCAGTTTCTAGCATGTACATTTTCTCCTTGTGATCCTTTTTTGCAAGGTTGTACACAGTCTTTTGAAGATCCACTAAATTCTTTTGTAGAGTCCGTAAAGTCTCCTGAATAATGTCGGGCATGGGGGCGCCATATTGGAAGATTGCTGGGCGGAAGTGCTTGTATCGCTGCGCAAACTCTGTGAACTGTCTCTGTTTACGAGTGGTTCTGCTAGAGTAAATAGTTCCCTTGTGTTTGACCTTACATCACTGATATAATATAATAATAATAATAATATAATAATAATAATAAAACTTTATTTAAAGAAGGTAGCCTGGTTAGTGCATGCACTATTCTTCCCCAGGGCCTTCTATATATCAATTACAAATATAAACAAGTACACATGTAAATAAAACAGATATAGTCTTAAGGAATTACAATCACAAAATTATGAATAGAGTGTCCATGTCTGGTAATATGTACATACAACTAACAATCACATTGTAGATAGGATATCAAAATCTTACTGTGCTCAAATAATTGTACGACAGCTGATAATGTAATTTTCTACATTACACTTAAATGTTCGTAGAGATTGAGAGAGTCTTATGTGCTGGGGAAGTTTATTCCACAGGTGCACACCTGAGTACTGAAAAGAGGTCTTGAATAAGTTTGTACGGAACTTAGGTAATTTAAGGTCATAATTAGTTTCAGATCGCAGGTTATAAGAAGCTGAGTAGTGAAATTCAAATAAATTACAAAGATATTCGGGAGTCATTCCGCTGAAAATTTTGTATAATAATATGTATTTGTATAGATCAACTAGCTCATAAACTGTTAACCATCCAAGTTTCTCAAACAGTGGTTTAGAAGAAGAATCAGGACTTGCGTCAAGGATAATCCTGGCTGCCCTTTTTTGTAATTTAAATAGTCTACCCATGTCCTGCTTGGGGGCATTACCCCAAATAGTCAAACAATAGTTAATAGATGGTAGAATATAAGCATTGTAATATAGTTTTCTGGTATGTAGGGGAAGAAATTTTTTTATCTTACGTAGAGTAAATAACTTATAGTTTATGGTTTTACAAACTGAATCAATATGATTTGCATACTGTAACTTATCATCAATATGTACACCAAGAAGTTTCTCAGTTTCAACCATTTCAATTGTTTTGTCTGAGGCATAAAGTTGTAAATTTGGATTATCTAGTTTTGATTTTCTTTGCTGTGTCCCCATTAGCATACATTTTGTTTTGTCTACATTTAATACCATTTGGTAGAATTAGAATTTCTTGAATGATCGGCAGCTAGATCTGTGTGTGCGTCTGAATTTATGTCATTAGAAGTTTGAATACTTCTGTTCTTGGAATTTTCAAGAAATAATTTCACTGTATTCCTGATCGTCGTTGATGGAACTGAAATCCAAATATTTTTCAGTTCCGCTTTAAGCTTAGATAGAATCCAACACATTTGCTCTGTGGTGGGAACGACCGCGTCTTTCGGCCATGGTCACTCAGTCACTTCAGTGAAATACGGCTGTCACAAAATACTTTTATACAAAATCATATAATGCACAAATGCAGTCACGAAATGTTTCCCATAGTGAGAGGTAAATCAGTACACATAAAACGGCAAATGGCTGGGTAAGAAATATTTTTTCACGTGGATAAGCTTAGTGTAAATAATAACGTACACAGATCAAATGATGCTAAAACAATAGATGACTATTTATATTGACCAATCAAGAGACAGAAACTATGATTAGAACTTGGACGGTGGAATCGTAGATTCCGGAGGTTGATTGCCGACACAAACTTTGATTATGCAAGCATAAACATTAAGAATTAATTCTTTTGACATATAGACAATTTCCCAATCATAAATCTATTTGCTCACATAGGTAACGGTGGTCTCCACGTATGATGTTCAGCTATAGACTTTTTAGTTGTCATTTTTTTAGATCTACTTAATTGTAGACCTTTTAGGTTTACTTAACCCAACGCTTCTTCCATTGAATAACTAGTCCATCTATCTTTGAACCTCTTTTACTATGTATAAACCAACATTCCATACAAGTATTTGTGTCGATCCCTCGTTCCCAGCTCTTTTCCCGTTTGAACAGGGGTCATATCCCACTCCACACAGTACTGAGTGATAATTTAGTGCACCGCACTTTGGCCCGATGTCGCCTTTTTGACAATATCTAATTAATAGTGTTTGTGCATCTAAAGTCATATTTTTATTATTTATGAGTCAGAGTGTTGATTTTTTACACACGAATACTCTGGATCATACATTTTCTATGGATGTAATTTTTGTCACATTATATTTCCATATAGCCTGATAATAAAGAAAACATCACTGTCAATGCAATTTTTGAAAGTCAAGAAATTGCCATGCACTGACCATCGATATTTAAGACCTTTTAAATGTTGTTTCTAAATGCATATAACATCATTTAGCCAAAATAACGAAAGTATCATTTCCCAAAAAATAATGTAGTGCTTAAAATGAATAATTTTGGTCAGACAGTTTATGAAATATTTAAAAAGTTCACGTTTTTCTGGGACAACCCTCATATATATTGCAATGTGTTTATATGTGTATTAAAATGTTATACCATTAGTCAATTTATCATAATTTTTTTTATTGATTTTGATGTCAAAAGATCATAGACCACGGACAGAAATTCTATTACATGTTTTGCCTACATAGTTTTCATGTGATATTTTTGTTAGCTATTACAATGAAACTTAGGTCATTAATTTCTTTAACCAACAAAAAAAAAACTCCTTTGACTTTAAATCCAAAAAATTCACAAGGTCAAGAACGACATTTTCATCATTATCCATCTTCAGTTCTTTCACTCTTTTCTTTAGCAGGGGATACAAATTCCAAGAATTAGCTTATATATTATAGAATTAGGTTTTTCATGACTTGTTTGTTAAAAAGAGCAGTTTATATTGTTTGTTTGTGATTCCTGAAAAATTATTTTGCTTTCTATGTACTGTTTTAAGAAATTCATTGTATTTTGAAAACATTTTAGTTGAAAGTATTGGTTCCTAAAATGGCTATCATCAGTGACTTGTGTGCAGCAGTGGGTGAAATGATGTCATCTGATCCTTGTAAGGTTAGTAATCTTTAAAAATGTTTTACATATTCTCTTCATACAGCCTCAATAGCATATTTCCTGACCAATGACATTGGCTATCTATCCAAAGAATTGCCAATCCACGTGACATGGCTAGAATTCATACCAACCACCTTGCTTTAATTGCTTATATTTTTAAGTCACCTGAGTCACTCAGGTAGCCTATTGCTATCTGCTTTTGTCCGCGCATCATCAGTTGTAAACTTTTGGAACATTTTAGGCTTCTTCTCTTGAACCACTGAATCAATTTCAACCAATTTTGGCATGTGGCATCAGTACATGAAGGGGTACAAAAATTTTGAATTTCATAGTCCCTGCTCACCTAGGGCCTGAGGGGTGGGGCTACATCAAAATTAGTGCTATCTTTAAAAATCCTCTTTACTGCTGGACATCAAGCAGTCAAACTATTGGCAATTATAATAAGCATTTAAAAAATTGTTAAACCCCCTGCCAAAATTGTTAAATTCTTGGCCCCAGATTTACAACTGGTATTCTAACAGTGCTGAAGCAATTCTTTTTTTTTGTCGGAATGGTGATAGTGACAATCAGGGGCAGGTTCAGACAAATAAATAGATCCACTTCAACATTACTGAGTAATAGACTTATATTTTGCTGATCCATGATCATCTGATTTATGTTGCTTTTGGGCATAGCTTAAATCATCTATCAGTTTATTTTTGTTTTATTTTATACTTCTTTGGATCCTTTACAATGTCGTTTTGTACACATATAGGTGACCATTAAAGCCATTGGGCCCTAAACTTCATGTGTTTGTTCAGATTAATATTTCAGTGTGGTTGAACTTTTTCTCAGACATGGTCTGGGGTTTTCACTTGTTGCACATGAAATACATGTATGTTTTGTTATGAAACATGTATTTGTTGCTTGTTCTTGTCTGAAAAATCTGACTTCCTTTCAACAATGACAGACTCTGATGGTTATTCTTTTGAGGGATTTGATAGAGTGAGGATATCAGAAAGGCAGAGAAAAAAAGTCCCCTCTAAATGAAGAAGAGTGATAGAAGCTACAGTAATGTGATATAAATGAGTTCGCAAAATGGCCATTGTCATCCAAGTGTGCTGTGCGTTTGTGGTATATAAAATCTAATTTTTATCAATAAAATAATATTACAACTTACCTTTTCAATTTAATTTTTAGCTCACCTGAGCCAAAGGCTCAAGCGAGCTTTTCTGATCAAAATTTGTCCGTTGTCTGTCGTCGTTGTTGTTGTTGTAGTAGTTGTCATTGTAAACTTTTCACATTTTCATCTTCTCAAGAACCACTGGGCCAATTTCAACCAAACTTGCCACAAAATATCCTTGGGTAAAGAGGATTCAAGTTGGTTCTAATGAATGGTGATGCCTTCTTCCAAAGGGAGATAATTAAGAATAAGTGAAAAATTAATGGCATCATTAAAAAATCTTCTTCTCAAGAATCACTGTTAGAAAGTATGAAACTTATGTGAAAGCATCCTCAGGTAGTGAAGATTCAAATTTGTTCAAATCATGACCCCCAGGGGTAGGGTGGGGCCACAGTGGGCAATCAAAGTTTTACATAGGAATACATAGGGAAAATCTTTAAAAATCTTCTTCTCAAGAACAACAAAGTCTTGACTGCTCATATTTATATGGAAGCATCCTCAGGTAGTGTTGATTCAAGTTTGTTCAAATCATGACCCCCAGGAGTAGGTTGGGGCCACAGTGGGCGATAAAAGTTTTACATAGGAATACATGGGGAAAATATTTAAATATCTTCTTCTCAAGAACAGCAAAGTCCTGATTGGTCATATTTATATGAAGCATCCTCAGATAGTGTTAATTCAAGTATGTTCAAATCATGACCCCAGGGGGTAGGGCGGGGCCACAGAGGGCGATCAAAGTTTTACATAGGAATACATGGGGAAAATCTTTAAAAATCTTCTTCTCAAGAACAACAAAGCCAATATTGGTCATATTTATATGGAAGCATCCTCAGGTAGTGTTGATTCAAGTTTGTTCAAATCATGACCCCCAGGGGTAGGATGGGGCCACAGTGGGCGATCAAAGTTTTACATAGGAATACATAGGGAAAATCTTTAAAAATCTTCTTCTTAAGAACAGCAAAGTCTTGATTGGTCTTATTTATTTGGAAGCATTCTCAGATAGTGTAGATTCAAGTTTGATCAAATCATGACCCTCAGGGGTAGGTAGGGGCCACAATGAAAGTTTAAACTTGTAGGGAAAAAGTCACAGTCAAAAAAAATGTGTAAGCATCCTTAGTTAGTGTAGATTCAATTTTGTTGTTATCATACCCCCCTTCCCTTTTAGGGGTAGGTCAGAACCACTTATGCATTTAAGCATTGCAATACTAAACTGATTTTTGCTTTTTTCCTAGCCACAGTGCTCAGGTGAGCGATGTGGCCCTTGGGGCTCTTGTTTTTTTTGCTTTTGTATTGGTGTTATAAAACAGTTAAAAAGTATATCTTTGAGGGAGCAAGATTCCAGTTCTCCTTGACCAGGACCATTTCCCTTTGGAAATAGTCCTGGCCTTGGGGAACTGGAATCTTGCTAACTCCCTCAATGATATACTTTAATTGTATCCTATTTCTCTTGCTTTTGGGCAACAAAGCTTCATCTATAAGTTTATTTCATACTCTATGGCTCCTCTAAATTGTAACATACTCAGGTGACTGTAAAGGCCCTTGGGCCTCTTGTTTTAAAGTAGTTTTGCAAAAAGTGTACGTGTGTAGCTGAAAGCATTGAAAGGATACAAAAGTGTTAATACTGATGGAAATTACTGCATGAAGGTGAGCCAAAGCAAATATAGATCTACATACGGGTGATCAAAAAGTTCGCGAACTAATTGAATTACTTCCTTAAAAGAAATAAAATGAGGTTTCAGTCTTTATTATTTTTTAAAGTAGTCCTCTCTGCTTTTAATGCACATCTGCCATTGTTCTGCCCATGTGCGAATCACATGATCCAGGCAGTCACGTGACATGCTATGTAGCAGTCTGTTCAGAGAAGCTAAAAGATTTTTCCGAGTCTTGTATTTCTTACCATTTATAACAAGAATAGTCCATCTGTCAGAAATGGCCAAATCTCGGCAATAGGATGGGTGGATAAGAATATCCCTTCCGACAATTTGTATGGTGACCCATCACAACCCAAGTCCTCTGTCTCGGGAGCGTCGTTTATCCAATGTGGATAAAGTATGGGCGCTCTCTTTTTATCATATCTCATATGTTTAAAGTCTAAAGTAAACGAAATTTTAGGGATTTAATAATTATATTATTGTTAAGATATTCAACCATTATTCTAATTGTAACTTGACGATGATTCATAACAAATTGCTCAACTAAGGAAACATCTTTTCCCCAGCTTGCTTTCGCTGGGCAATAGAACAAACATCATTTTTAACCATCTCCTTGTCTTCATTTAAACAATCAATTTAATTAATGATTGAACTTCTGGTAAGTCTTTTGTCTTCATTAACCTTGTACAAATTATCATATTCTACTGCAAAGCAATTTCCAAGATATACATTAAACTTTACAGCCGTTCGTTGCTCAAGTGCGACTGAATCAACCATTTTTTGTCACAAGTGACCTACATATTGACGTTATTTTCACATTGTGACGTCACAAACACGGAGCAAAACATTATTTAACATCTGTTATCTATAGAACATGTGTATGAATATATGTGTGCCAATTAAATTTCATTCTGATCTGAATTGTGGTTTTGTAGATATAGAAATAGTTCGCGAACTTTTTGATCACCCCTCGTACATGCCAGTCAAAGAAAAGCATCTGTCCAGACTTATATGTTTGTAATCCCACTAGCTTCAGAGTTAGTTATCTAAAAATTTTACTAGCCTATACTTGAATGAAAAAAAGGTGTAGCCATCGGAATAAGTTTATGTAGATTGATTGATTGATTGTATGTTGTTTAACATCCCTTTCGAGAATTTTTCACTCATATGGAGACACCACCACTTGCCGGTGGAGAGCTGCAAATTTTTGTCCTATACTCGGCACACTTGCAGCCACTAAGCAGTGCGGGATCTTTTTCGTGAAAGCACCTACTGCGACACGGGACCTCGGTTTATACGGTCTCATCCGAAGGACTGGTCTCCACGTCCCAAAGTGTGATTTGAACCCGCGACATAAGGATCAACTCCTTACTTCGCGACTCTAGAGCAGACGCTCTAACCACTGTGCCACGCGGGTGACAAGTTTATGTAGAGTAATAAGCAATATAACTGGTAAATAATAAAATTAAAAGAAAAATGCATCACCTGAAGTTTTAGCTGAAATCAAGAAGGATGCTGGTCTTAACCTTCAATCTTTATAGTTAAAACATCACCATCATGGTGCCCGCTCGATTGCTCTGGTGTAAAAAATTGTTGGTTGCAGTGTTGCTGCAAGGCCAGGGTTAAGTTCTACAGTAGGTCTTACTGGAGATCTATACCAGCAATAAGGAGGTCAAGATGTGTAGCTGTATAATACTACCTGTAGAGTTTGTCAATCTTGGACAACTTTCTCTGCTCCAGATTTTTTGAGCCTCGGGCTGGGAATTAGGGTCTATAGTATGTTTCCACTTATGTGTGTCATTTTCACATATACATATATATGGAATAAAAAATAATACACAGAAAAACAAACTAAATTGTAAATATTTTAAAATAAATTTAATGCTAAAACAACATTTCTTTTTTTCATGTAATATAAAAAGCCATGTGCTGCCAACGCTTGGTTGTGATGAGAAAATTTCTTACACTTTACAATCCGATCTAAATTCATCGCTTATTTACCCATCGAGATTAATAAATAAATAAATCACTTTTTTCGAGGCACAAGTAAGTCAACACATATAAATATGCTATGAAATAGCGGACATAAACTTAATATAAAAAATTCTTTATGTATCTTCAAGACATCCTTACCTCTGAAAGTTTCAGCACAATCAAGCCAGTAACCAAAATCCAATAAAACCTAAAGCTAAAATTATGGTTTAATCTTTCTCGTACAATGTTTCAGAGTTTTGTTGTACATTAAGTTGTGTTTCTCTCAAATCTTTTCCCAAGACTCTGCATTAATTAAGTTATAAAACATTTCTCTTCAGATGGTGGTTACAGATGTATACAATCATAGATTTCACAAAATCTTCTCTCCGGGAGATGCCCTTTCACACATCTTGGATAGAGATGATATTTTTATGTAAGTATCTAAGATCAATGTAGCTTTCAGTAGATTTATTAGCAAGCTTTTGTCAAGCAATATATTAAACTGTAGAAGGAAAAATGATTTCAACTGGACAAGAATTGGCTTGTTTATTGGTTACAATGCAGAATCATTTGGACCATACAAGAATTTGCAGATGCCTTGCAGTAATCAGACTGTGTTTGTCAGTCCCCCTAACCACAGTTTTCCTCTTTCTACCTCATCTGAGCCAAAAATTTTGATATAAGTGTTCGGCATCCATCTGTCTGTCTGTCTATCTGTCTGTCCCCTGTCCTGTGTTGTCTGTAAACTTTTCACTTCTTCTCCAGAACTACTAAGCCAATTTAAACCAAACTTGCCAAAAGGCATCCTTGAGTAAAGGGAATTAAAGTATGTTCACAGGGAGCACCCTCTTTCAAAGGGAGATAATTAAGAATTCATGGTAATTAAAAATTCTTCTTAAGAACCACTGAGCCATATGAAGATAAAACTTATGTGAAAGCTTTATTACATACTGTAGATTCAATTTGTTCATATTATGACCCCCAAGGGTAGCATCTTCAGGTAGCATAGATTCAACTTTGTTCAAATCAATGGCCTCCTTGGTTAAAAGTGGAGGAACAATGGGAGATCAAAGTTTTTCAATGTCCATTTATATATATTTGCATATTTGCTTGATCATCATCATAAAACGAAGTATTCCTTATATTTACATGATTCCATAGATTCATGAGCTCAATCCAAGCCCCACCCACTTCTCTCAATTTTCTTTAAACCACTCCTATTGGTGAACCAATAGCTTTATGAATAAATCAATTTTTTTATCATTTGTTAGTAGTTTTATCTTGGACAAAGAAATTTGACAATGTAAATATTCCAATTTAATGGGCCAATTTCAACAAAACTTGCCACAAAGCATCCTTGGGTGAAGGGGATTCAAGTTTGTTCAAATGAAGGTCCATGCAACTTTCAAAAATCTTCTCAAGAACCACAGGACGAGAAAAGTGGAAACTTGTTAAACCTTCCTTATGTAGTGTTGACTCAAATTATTTCAAATCATGATCCCCTAGAGTTGGGTGATATGGAAGCATCCTCAGATAGTTTAGATTCAAATTGTACAAATCATGACTGGGGGGGGGGGGGGCTACAATGGGTGATTATAGTTTTACATAGGAATATATAGGAAATAGTCTTTTATAATATTCTTTGCAAGAACAGCAAAAGCATGATAAGTCATATTGATATGGAAGCATGCTCAGGTAGTGTAGATTCAAATTGTATAAATCATGACCCCAGGAGTAGAGTGGGGCTACAGTGGGTGATTAAAGTTTTACATTGGGAGATATGGGAAATAATGTTTGATAATATTCTTCATAAGAACAGCAAAAGTATGATAAGTTTGTTCAAAACATGACATAATGTGTAGGGTGGGGCCATAATGGGTGATCACAGTTTAACATAAAATCTATCAGAATATTTTTTAACAGATAATATTCTTCTCAAGAACAGCAAGGCATGATAGGTCATATTGATATGGAAGCATTGGTTAGTGTAGATCCAAGTTTGAATTATTAGTCAACTTGTCCTTGAACTTACTGTAGATTTACTGTATTCACAATTATTGGCTCACCCCTACCACAATGTTTGGCTTTGCTCTTTGTATATACGTGAATTTCAGTGCTAAAACTTGTTGAATTGTATGGTTGTTAAGATATTATTTGATGATGTAAGATGAAAAATTTTGCTTAATTTGTATTACAGTTTTTTTGTTCATATGTTACCAGGGTTCATAAGTGCACTTGTTCTTTCTTCTCAAGCCATGATTTGTATGTCTTTTAACAGATATGAAGTGCCAGTATCTCCTACTGATAGTTCTGATACTATGCTAGTTCCAGTCTACATGAGAGAAAATCGGTAATTTTATTTTCAATATACATGTATAAATGCCAGCTTAACCAATCTGTTAATTATCATCCATTATACACCAGAAACTGAATCTTCTACACTCATGAAGAGCTTAAGAAATTTTGCTATAGAAAGGAATTTCAGACTTTGTGTATAAAATAAGTAAATGAATCATTTGATAAAAATATATTTTTAAACAGAAGTATTATAGCTCCCCTGTGTCAAAGGCTAAAACCCATTCTCAATGTAAGGACCCAAACATCTCTACAATTTTTCAAAAAAATGAAGATAGCAACTTTTCTATCAAATATGTTTGAAAGAAAGTACAGCCCCTGAGACCTTCTACTTTCTCATTTTTCCGTTTGCTCACCATTCGTTCAGCGTGCGTTCACCGTTCACTTTCCATTCACAGTTTTGCGTTCAGCATTCACCGTTCACAAAGCGTTCACCGTTCGCTCCCGTTCATTCACTTTGCATTCTTGCGTTCAGCGTTCAGTCTTCATTGTCATTCGGAACTCCAAAGTGAAAGGACTTATCTTTTTAAAAGAAAAAGCGTTAAAGTAAGGGTTTACTGGTTTAAAGTATCATTATTTTCTGCAAAAAATTATCTCCAATATTTTTTATTATTTTTTAACTTAACTGTTGATTATTTATTAAATTTCTCTTAATAATAAATGTTGTTGGAAACATATTCATTCAGTACGATGCTACAGGTACAAGATTAAATTTAAATACGGCAACATACATGTACCGATACGGCGCTGCAACATTCTGATATTATGTCAAAGACCACAAATCATGGGTAGAGAGATGATAATTCGGATCACTTTACTAACCAACTGCAGAATAATTACCAAAATATTCATTTCTAACACATTTTTTCTCAGTTACTATAGAAATACATGTTCATTTGTACATGTTACAACTACTTCTGAGAATTATAGATATTATTACGGATTAAATATCTACGGAGCCATGTACAGTGATTGTGTGGTTAAAAAACTATTTATTTGAATTGTAATACTCTAAAAAAAATTATAATAATAAAAACTGCAAGTTTTTGGTGGATCTGGAAGGGTATAAGGTTTTCTTTTTCACAAATATAGTCAAAGTCTTTCGTATGAGAGGGAAAAAAATCCTTCATCACTGTAACTATTTATATGTTTACCATTTAATCCCCCCCCCCCCCACTTTCCTGAATCTGCCACTTCGTAAGTATTTGCAGTATATTTTAGTTTATTAATGCGTTTTGTAACATTAAAATTTCAGTTTATAAATGTTCATGCATCTAAGAGAGTCATTAATTAATGGTGGTTCAAAATACACGTGCTGATAGTGGTATTTGAATTAGCAAGGATCAAATTCATGCGACTTCATTATTCCAAGTGTTTATGTCCAATACATTTTATTTATTTATTTATTCATTTATTTACTTATTGAGCAATGTTGGAATGAGATCTAGAAATGATCAAAAAAGTTTTTAAAACTCCTTGGGAACATTAGAACTTTGCCTTGAGCATGACGAGACTTACAGCAGCACAGTGTCAATGATTTTGATTGACAGGACAAGCATGTGGACTTCATGTGAACTTGAAGCAGGAAAAAAAACGATTATGACTGCCAAACAAATTGATTTGTTGATAAAGATTTGGTTTTTTTCACTGCCTGATATATATATAAAAAAAAAATTCTTGATACAGGTACATGCATTTGAGGAAGGGGGGGGGTGTAAGATGGAATCTGTCTCTCTCTCTCTCTCTCTCTCTCCCTGTATAATTTGTCTGATTATATATAAGTATTGCAGCATATTACTAAAAATATCAATTACTGTTGTTCATATATGAATGCCTCTGTGTATCCTCTTGTTCACATGTCATAACGGGGAAAGGGGGGTGTGTGTCAAAAGTGCTAAAAGATTATCGTTAAAAATAGAAATGTCACATAAATAGATAATTGCATGAAAAAATAGAGTACATGTATATTTATATAACACATCCACAGACCTTTGTAAAATATTTTTAATTGCAATTTTTTTAAATTATTTTACACGGAATCGCCTCTGTATGGAAACACATGTGTCCTTGTAATTTTCTCTACTTTGAATACAGAGTTTTGTATAAGTAACAATGTTTAACAGCAATAATTTATTTGTGACTAAACAGCTTAATTAAGTTAAAAATAATAGATATGTGCAGAAAATATTGTAAGAAACATAATTCATAGACGTACTTAATGTGCATGTATCATTTTCTTACGATAATGTGGGAATGTTTATTAATTAATTTATTTATCTATTTTTCTGGAAGTGTTCATAACAATTTTTTACATGGTATGAATTCCTTTATTTAGGAGATATATTAATGTTTTTGCACCTAACAATAGAATAAAATAAAATGTATACAATGTAAGGAAAAGATCGGAGACATTCCGAATAAATCGTTCATCTTACGTTCACCGTTCACTTTGCGCTTGCGTATGCGCTCTGTTCACGTTCTGCGTTCACTCACCGTTCACCAACCGTTCACCAAATTACGTTCAGCATTCACACATCATTCACTCACTGTTCGCTCTGCGTTCGTTCAGCGTTCACTCTGCATTCGCTCACCGTTCAAGGGGGAAAGTAGAACGTTTCAGGGACTGTATCTCAAGATTCTGTTACAAGTTTTCTTTCGTCTTATTTTAATACAAGTCATGGAATAATGACAATACATTGAAATAGGGGGATGATTTCATGCAAAAATATGGCTGGAAATTTACACTACTTTCTGCCTAGGTCACATTTAAGCAGATGGTCAGGCGACCAAAAAACATGATCGGCAGACTCTAGTCTAGGGGGATGCAGAGTAGTTGCATTAATTCCTAGGAACACCGATACCAATTAAAGTAAAAATATTTATAAGTTGGCCAACCCTCGCCTGATCATTAATCGCTGGGCTGCAGTTTGAATTTCACCGTCAGCCGACATTTACGAAAACCCAATTACTAAATGTCAACCGACCATCAACTGACTTTAAAAGCTGTATGCCAATGGTCGGACGATGATCGAAGGTTGGTCGATGGACTATTCAACAACTGCTTCAATTGAAGGAATCGGCCACCAACGCAGAAAAAAATTATATCTTTGCCCAACTGACATAAAATTGGTCAGCCCATGAAAAAAGAGGTAAAAATCAGGGAAGACAAGGGCTGATCAACTGCCGACTATGGCCCAAATAATCATATTTTTACCTTAAAAACCATCGATCATTTTTAGGAAATGTGACTTGGGTTTTACTATAATGTCTAAAAAGGTCTACAGGTAAAACATGGTCCTTAAAAATCACAATTAGAACATCTCATCTTAATTCCAATATATTCTAACAACTCTGTTAACAAAATATTCTCGGGACATACGAATGTGCATTTAATTAAAAAAAAAAACACAGGTAACTGTTTGATCCAGAAGACAAACAAAACAGTTTGTTTAATATACATGTACTTTAAATTTTTTTCTCTGTTTTGTTGAACCATCAGTTTGCCTTTGAATCATGTCATTTTTCTATAGATACTGGAACTTAGCATATACATGAAGTAAAATTCTATTTTGTAGTAATACTGTTAATTTAATTAAGTAAAACCTACATCATATGATGTCATAGTTAAGTGAATTAATTAATGCAATTGACTGTCTCAGCTAATGAAAATACACAGCTGTGTTACAGTACACGCAACGTTTTTCTTTACAATTCTATCATGTCCTATCATGCGTTTATCCTATCGTATAGTGCATGTATCCTATCGTATAGTGTCATTTATCAGGTTTTGCATTTTCTATCGTATTGTGTTTTCCATTTATCAGGTTTTGAGTTTTCTATCGTGTTTTGCATTTATTGGGTTCTATCGTGTTTTGCATTTATCGTGTACATTCAGAAACCCTCACATTTTATCTTTACTATGGGAAGAAACACCCGTGATACCCCAAGTTTTTTTTTCATTTTGTTAACTTACTTACGATTACTTTAACTAAGAAGTGAAAAGAGAGTTTTATATCTTAGCTTTGGTCAATTATTAAAAGAAATTAGAATAGAAAGAAAAGAATAAAATAAATAAATTAATTAATAATTAAATAAATAAATAAAAAATATCATGATCAAGCAGAGAGCGGAAATAGAAAGCTACAACATATTTTTGGAAATGAATTAAATGATCCCTTGGTCTTTATTTTAATTTATCAAATTGTAAAGATGAGAAATATTATAATTTTCTTTAAATAGTCAGAGTCATTAGAGGAAGATTTTTAAAAGGCAGGAGGTGCAGTATGTGTACCAAAAAATAATAATAAGCACGGGTCTATTTTTATTATGTATTTTTATTTCAATTGCGAAATCAGTTATACACAAAGTATTCTTTTTTTTTCCAAGACATTGTCTGATAATAGAGTAATGTGTTTATGCCGCTGATCTGCATATATGAATAATTATTTTAAGTCTTGATACCAAATGATTCATAAAGCATAAGATAATGGTCATGATAACATTTACATAGATTTTGTCCGAAGTGCATATATGTGTGTCTGGCGAGGAGAAGCGGGGGGTAGGGGTTACTTCATATGTTGATCATTGTATTTTTATGCACATGCAGAAACTATCCATTTTATTATTGAAGAGAGAGAGAAAATTTTATTTTTGCTGGTCTGCAATGCACATGATTTGAAAAATAGTATGATATCTTAATTGTCAAGAAAACCCCTTCTCGCTTTATTTACACCAGCCAGTAAAAATTTAATTTTATCATTTAGTGATTTCACTATATGATCAAATCAGATCTAATGTAAGAATTAGCTTATTTTTATTTTTCCTTTTGTTTCTTTCCATTTATTTTCTTCATCCACTTGATTCAATTCAATTGAAAATTATTTTCAACCTGACTGACAAAATAGTGTGTTATTACATTTTGCGTTGCTGCATTTTGCTTAATCTCGATGCAAAATGTTACAACGCAAAATATGATAATCCAAAAATCGTGTAATT